GAGGTGTGGGGAAGGGCCATCATGGCTGAAGGGGAAAAAGGAGAGAAAATCCAAAGTGATAGGATTATGAACCATTAAAAGGCTGCTGTGCACAATATGTTAGAGGATGGGCATATTACAGCCTTTACACAAAACCACAGTCCATTATAAACATAATAATAAACACTGGGGTAAGCATTAAGAATGGAAATGTCACACCTAAGGTCACGGAGACACTTCAACTTCAGCACACATTTAAGGGGTGACAGGGCAAGCCCTGGGGCGTTGCCTCATTATTAAACAAAAGTGATGGAATATTAAATTTCCAATAGCCCAGAGCGTCCAAAGTTTTACTGATTGAACCATGGCTGCAAAAATAAAATCCAAGAATAGCTAGCTAACTACAAGGACATGTCCCTCCCGCAGCAACAGAGAGTTTTGCATGAAGACAATTATAAAAAGGCCTTCCACAGAAAGAAATGGATTTAACCATAATTACCACCAAAGAAAGCTATCTGTTGGGATTAATAATGACACGTTTACCCCACCATTTAAAAAACCCTCTCTATTCACATACACAGTGCATTATGTGTTCTTGGAATAGGAACTTTTTGAATTACGTGATTCCTTAGGTGTTGAGATAAAACGCGAAGGCTACAAGAGCCATGAGCCCAATGGAGCTGCTCCCCCAGAAATATGGTGAGCTCCCTTTGTTGGAAGGATAATAATTTGAATACACTGGGTTGAATCAAATATATTATTAAACGAGGTTCACCTGTTTCTCTTTACATTTTTTTAATGTGGCGACTAGAAAATCACGTATGTGCTGGACAATGCTGCCCCAGAGCCTTGGTGACGATTTAATAACAGCAACAACAACAACAACAACAAAAAATCCACCTAATATATCTTGCACACGCCCTGTGGTGCTAGGCAATAGTCTAGGCATGCCACATGTATTCTATCATTTAATCTTTATAATGACTCCATGAAGTGGCTGTATTCTTATCATCCCCATTTTACAGAAGAAAACTGAGGCACAGAGTAAGCAGTGGAGTAACTCAACTCATGTGGCTGAAAAATGGAGCCAAGAATGAAACCCAGGCAGTTTGTCTCTGAACAGAACATGGTCTTAATTCAATAGAGTTTCTCTGTTCTTTATGACAGAGATAACACTGGTTAAAAAAAAAAAAAAAAGTATTGCAAATCAACCTTTCCTAACCACTCCAGCTTACTGTTAGAAAAAAAAATATCTGAAAGCAAACAAACTAGACATTTTTATATTTATTTATTGCTTTTTTTTGATTGAGCCTCCAAGAGGCACTTAAACAAAATTCATGCGAGGAAAAATTATAGGTAGTATCATATTTTAAAGTACAGGAAGCAGACAGTTCTGGAAACGGAAGGTTGGGATAGTTTCCAATGGCCAATGCGCCATCATTTGAGAGCCACCATTCTAGAATAAAACACATCCCTGTCTACTGGACTCAAATGATCATGTTCTCTGATTGATCATGAACACAATGGAGGCACCATCTCAACATGCTAGCCTCGCTCCTTTGACCTGGTAAGCCAGCACTGAGAGTGGCACCATTTTGTTGGGATGATAAAGTCACGACACAATGTTTGCCTGCTATTTACCGAAGACATTTAGTGGAACCAACCACCTACGCCACACTGACTGCTAGCCAACCAAGCCAACACGTGATCCCATTAGCAACGCTGTAGTAGATTCAGATTATCACAGGGACCAAAGTCAGAGCTTACCGGCTATGGGGCTGGTTTCAGTGTCCAAGGAGACTCACAGAAGAGGCAAAATAAGGAGTTGTTCCTATCTGGAAGGCTTCAAAGAAATCCACGTCATACAAGCCACCATACAAGTGCTACCCACTGCATTATATGGTGAACACATTCTCATTTTTGTTGCTGACAGACACCCACACAGTGTAAGGGGGGGAACAGAACAGAGGAAACAGTCTTTGGAGAAAGAGAAGAATGAGGAACTTCGAATGTTTTCTTTCTGACGCAGCAGACATGGGATTCTGTCTACTTGGTGTTCCGCACTGGCTGGCTGCCTTTCTGAAATGAACGTTCTGTGCTAACTTCCGAAAGAACGTTGGCAGGGTCAGGGTGGGAAGGTCTGAAGGGACAATACTTGGATGGTTAATGGTTTCCCTTCTGAGCGCTGACACCACTGTGACCTCCATGCAAGTGTGCCCGCAAGGATTGCGTTTGGCCACAGGAAAATGAGCTGTTTTTCCTCCCTTGGGGGAGAGAGAGAGAGAGAAAGAGGGATAAGGTGAAGCTGTGTCTGATGAAGGTACTGTCTAAGGATAGTTTATAGTAAAGAAACTGGGAAGCCAGTATGATTAATTGAACTCTTTACTATTTCCTTGAAATAGAACTACCTGCAGACAAAGTCATATATTCCAAGTCACAGAGAAACTCTTCTACTTCCTCTGAGTATTTGAGCAGCAAGGAGTGAAGGGTACACAGATGTTAAGTAAGCATTGCCTGGGCGCCTGGGTGGCTCAGTGGGTTAAGCCTCTGCCTTCGGCTCGGGTCATGGTCTCAGGGTCCTGGGATCGAGCCCCGCGTCGGGCTCTCTGCTCGGCGGGGAGCCTGCTTCCCCCTCTCTCTCTGCTTGCCTCTCTGCCTACTTGTGATATCTCTCTCTGTCAAATAAATAAATAAAATAAAAATCTTTAAAAAAATTAAAAAACAAAACAAAAAAACCCTAAGCATTTCCTAAGATGCCCACAGTACTACACAATTATTACCCTTTGCCTCTCCCCTCCACAGAGTGTCCTACAAAAAAAGTGGCCAGACTTGTATTTCTTTGTCTCATTATCTCAAGCCTTTGTATCTCTGAAGACAAAAGCATCTATCTTAATGGACAAAAAGCATCTCTTTTCAAAGTCCCCTGCCCCAACCCTGGGGATATAAATATTTGGACTGCAATTTTACTTTATTCTAGTAAGACAATGCTGGCTTCACCATTAGGAAGAAAACTCGTTTCCTGTTTCATTATCTTCTTAAAGCTGGCAGATCCTGTTCAGCAACCAAACTGCTAGTACTTCTTTTGTCATCAGAGAAGAATTAAAGGAAAAGAAATTTCTTGAAGTAAAATGTCTGCCAACAGCAGTGAAACCAAGTCTGTCTGGCCTAACTTTGTTATCGGGACAACAAAGCTCCTTCTAAACGACCAGCTCCATTTACCCCCGGGGCAGGGGGCAACACTGGGTGTTTTAGGAAGCTACCTGGTCTGTCTGCTGATTTATTTAAGGATGGACACATGACCCAAGGCCAGCCAAGCTGTTGGCTGACCAACATCTATTCAGATCTATCTTCATGAATACTGGAAGTAGGACCCTCACTATTGTCAGTTGGTAGCTGGCCCTTGAGTTGAAAGGTGAACTGGTACGAGAGCAACCATATTTGACCAGGTAACCAAAACAAAACCAACTGGGAGTGAGAAAAGCATGAGAATTTTGCAGAAGTACAGAATCACAGAATCACAGAGCAGTGGCAGAAACTCCAAGATTAAAGAACCTGCGTGGCCCCTGAGAGAGGGCTTTGCTTCCCAGCCACAGTCCTGGTTATGACGGCTTCATCTCAGGGTGCCTCCACCGTTTCCTTAAAATACTCCCTTACCTGAGCTACCTTACGAGGGTTGCTGATTCTTAACTCTAAAACACACCTGACCAGGACACCCTCTAACCCTATTTCCCCCACCCCTTATTCCAAACTCTCTGCCTTTATTAGGAAAATCTTTGGACTCTTCCCCACTGCAGCCAGATCCATAATTTTTTTGCCCATATCTTCACTTATATCGCGGGTGCTGTCACATAATTCTAGAACTTCCCCTGGCCTACTACAACATTCCGTATTCCTACCTGTCACACTCTAGGAAGGCATCTCTATGAGCAGCTCTGATAAGAACCTTCCATTTTTAAACAGTCCTGCTTAATGGCTCAAATCCCGTTTCTCACAATCCTAACCACTGTTGCTGGCTCTATTTTCTGAAACTATGGAGAAGAAACATACCCTTCTACTTCAGTGCATGCTGCATTACGATGACTAATACATCTCCTCTAGGAATTTTCTCCTTCCATCTATTATCCCTCATGAGGGGATTTCAAGCCTCCCCACCCATTCCTACTCCCACCCGCCCGGTGGCTCCTCTTCCTCTGACACAGCCCTCAAACTCATCTCCATTTCACCAATTTCCACATCCACCTTCCTAGGAAATCAGCCCAGGCCACACTCAGAGAGAAGCAGTTCAGTGTAATGGTCAGCCACAGGGGTTTGGAATCAGACAAACCTGGGCTCAGTTTCCGGCCTCAACAGTCATTACCCATGAATTCTTGGCTATGTTACCCAATCTCTCCAGACCACGATACCCTTACGTGCACCATCCTCGGGCAACAGCCATCTCTCCATGCTGTTTGGCCACGAAACTGGCCATGTGTAAAGTGCTTAGCGCACAGAAAGAGCTCAATCAATGGTATCTATTCCTTCATTTCGTCATGTACACAAATCTCTCCCTCTTCTGAACTTCGGGTAGGCTTAGTGGCTCAGAGCATGACTTTTGGGCTTAGTAACTTTCGGACACTCTGGCTTAGTAACTGGTTGGGTGGCCTTATGTATCTCTTCTCTATGAAAGGGTTGGGGGGGCAAAGAGGACTACCGTTTGTGAGGATTAAATAGGTGAGCACATATAAAGAGCTCGGAAGAGTTTCTGGCACAAGCTGGACAGCTGTTCTCTCCTCCAGATGGAATACTTACCTAATACCTGGTTTTATACCCTCAATTCTCCTCAGCCAGTGGCTGAGAAACTGTTTTATATTTGACAATTCTTGGGTTCAGAAACACATCTGTTAGAAAGACAGAAGGAATCGGGGCGGGGGAGAGGATCAAAAAACTGGTATTTTTTTACTGGTGTTTTGTAGCCACGTTAAATGGTTACGTCAACGCAAAACAAGTGAACACCGAGGTCCCATGTGGGGCTGAATACCTACCTGATGGTAAGAGATGGGGACAGGCCTCCGGAAGACGATCCACTCCACGATTTCGCTACACGGTGGGGTGGTCAGAGAACCTGTGTACCGGTAATAGCTCCCCAGGGACGCAGGCAAGAGGTCCCGGAGGACAAAAGGATCCAGAAAGGTCTCCTTCTCTGTGTGGAGGAAGAAGGAAAGAAAGGCACAATGATGTAAGTCATATTATGCTGCAGACATACAGTCGAAACCCTCGGCATGCTGGTGCCACATCACAAGCCTTCTGTTTGTTTACATCCCGAGAAGCACTAGCATTTGGTGGTGGGAGGGCCACAGCAAACAAAGCAGTGTTTCCCAGGATGTGTTCTGAGGCCCCACGGTGCACTGTATTTCACGAAAAACAGATTCCATGACGAGTGCTGCTGGGCAACCTGCGGTCCTTTCTTCTCCCCACCCCAGGGAACAGACAAAACACTAGCACAGTCAAGTCCCTGAGAAGTCCTGCAGAAAAGAAATGGACTTGATTTCATGTAACCCATCCCTTCCCAATCTTGCTTTGCCACCAAACCCTTCCCCATCCAATACTTAGGAACTAACAATCAGTGGCATAAACGCTGGGACACCCACGAGAGACTCGGCGTAAAAAGAAAACTGTCAGCCAACGGTAAAGTTCAATTCCAAAGCTGGTTACATCTGATTGTGGTTTCACCCAGCACCTCTCCAAATCAAAGTGAAATCTAACCAACCTACAGACCTGAGCTTATAAAATGGGGGCCCAGAAAATAGGCTTCTTCTTTTTACAAAAGCAGAGTGGTCTTTCCTTATGTGGAAGGAATATTTCAACCAAGACTGAAAAATGATACCGGACAATAACTCTATGATAAAAACAAGGTGTGGAGGGGGTTAGTGCCTGCCTAAGGTCACACAGCTCCTAAACTTCAAAGCTGGCATAGGAACCCAGGCACTCTGACACCAGAGTGTGCACAGCTCTGACTCAGCTAACGAAGAAGCTGAAGCAACTTCAGTGAATACTGAAGGATAGGGGCAAAAAGAGGAGAAGAGCATTTGGGGCTGCGGGAACAGCATGTTCAAAGGTCCTGAGGCAGGAAGAAACAGTGCAACAGCGTTTAGGGTACTGTATTATAGCTCTCCCAATCCGGCTCAGTAGATTATCCAGCTTCTTTCCCAAATCAGAGAAGGCTCTATTCTCTCTCTGGGTCTACAAAGGTCTAGCCCTGAATTTAAAGTCTGGGATTTCTTTCTTAGGCCTTTTTGGGATGTAATAAGGCTATTCTCATCCTGCTAATGGTTTGCCTTGGCTCCCTAGTGGCCTCCACCATGGGCTGAAGGATATTCTTGCGAGGACCTTAGGGCTCCAGGTTACCTCCTGGACATATCTGTGCCTACAGGAGTAGTCCTTCCAGGTTCACACCCCTCCTTCCTTTTCTTCAATGCAGAACGAGCAATACAGGTCTTTGTGCAAATGTGCATCCATGGACTTGAGGGAGCTCTGTGACTGGGAGTTATGCAAAAACCCCAAAAGAAATCAACTCTTTAAAAATAAGCAAAATGGCAATTTTCTTTTGGGAGAGATTAATTGACTGAAAGTTAACACTTATTTGGCTTTATTACCATATGCCAGACACCATTCTGAGGGTTAAGCAGTAGTTACTGGATGTGCCAGCCCTTGTTCTTAGAGTTTGATAAAGATTAATTTATTTCTTTCTTAAAAGAGCGCCATGAAGTTGCCCTATTATTATCACCAATTTACAGGGCTCAGATGTACAAGAGGTAGGTGAGTTTAGAATCCAGGCTTTCATTATTCTTAAACCATCACTATATGCTTTCGATTTACAACACTTGACTCAAATTTCACAGATGTGGAAATGAAGGCACAGAGAAGTTAAATAACTAAGCCCAAGATCACTAGGGATGGGGAAAGAGAAGCCGTTATTCATGAGACTCCAAAACCTTGGCTGATTCTCATACAGGTTTTCAAGTCTATGTTTTTAAGGAAAAATTAAATATTAAGTCATAAATGCCAAAGTCTCCAAATTAGAGGGTTCTATAACCAAAATGACAAAAGCGGGTTCTATTTGGACAAAAGGCCGGAAATCACCAAACTGCCCCTCCACCCACTGGCTAGTGTGGGTTTTAATTTAAACCTGGTTACCGGCAACCCAGTGACAGGGTAAACCTCTGCCAGCCTGCTTGGCTGCGACGGGGTTGGCTGGGAGCAGGACAAATGCCGGCCTTTGCTTGCTGCTCCTGCACTTCCCGAGCTACGTAAACAGACAAGGCAAGGCCCCAGGCAACAGAGGGAGCATAGGGCCTGGCATCACAAACCACAAAATCATCATCTTCATTTTTCCCTCACGTTGTAGGTGAACTTGGCGTTGCACCGCAGCACATGAATCGGCCTTAGGATCAAGGGCTCCAGGCTGAATGGCCAGGAAACCTGGAGAGTTTTCCCCGAGGAGCCTGATCCAATATTGGGGCTGCTGTTTAGCATGCTGTAGGCAGACAGCTAGTGACAAGACAGTGCTCGCAAGCCGGCAGCGGCAAAGCCGCTAGAGCATCCACTGGAGGAAGAGGCTGAGGCTTTAAGGAATATAAAAAGATAAAGCAGGAACACCTGCCCCCCCTCCCACCCCATCTGAGATGACTGGATCTCTCCAAGGGCACATGGTTTTAGTAGGATCAGGAGTCTCCTGCAAGTTCTTGTACGGGCTTCTGAATTCGGCAGGGACTGATGGAAACTGCAGGCATGACCATTGCTACAAAGGCAGAAGAGCTTTTTTTTGTCCTTGACCAACCTAAGGGCTTCAGGGGCAGGTTCTGGCTTTAAATGATCAGCAGGTGCAATCAGATGGGAGGCAGGGAAGGTGGACATGGTGAGGGGGACCAAGAAGGAGGCTTTGCTGCTTGTTGATCCCGCCACAGTCACTGCTGTTGGGTTAGGATTCTGAGACCTGGAAGGGGCTTAGACCACCCTCATTCAGTGGCTTTGGGAGCCAAGGAACCCTTTTTTCAAACAAAATCTTACACAGGAGGCAGCCAACCGAAATAGCTAAAATGCAGCCACCATGGTTAAAGCTGAGCTGGGAACCTAGGGACACTTTGGAAACCACCAACTTAGTCCAATTCTGAAATTTTATTGCAGGGAAAACGGAAGACCAGACGGGAGGTGAAAAACTTGAGAACACAGAAACTCAGATGGGATCCCTTCTTCAAAGAAGCCACTTAGGATCTGGAACAGTAAGCCTAGGACCAGAAGTGTCACCTAGCATCAGGAGCTGAAAACTGCAATCCAACCACTACTTTCATCAGCACCTCATTTCTCCATCCCTACGGAAGCTGGGGAAGAGAGCAGATTCTCAGCTTCGAGGGTCCGAATCCCAACTCCTCTACCTGTAAGCTCTGTGATCTCCGTTACTGAAGCTTCCTCGGCTGAGAGCTTAAAATAGAGTAAGCATCTCATAAATGATAGATTTTTTTAAAAAAGATTTTATTTATTTATTTGACAAAGAGAGAGAGCGAGAGCAAGAGGGAGAACACAAGTAGGGGGAGAGGGAGAGGGAGAAGCAGGCTCCCCACTGAGCAGGGAGCCGGATACGGGGCTCGATCCCCGAACCCTGGGATCATGACCTGAGCCGAAGTCAGATGCTTAACGACTGAGCTACCCAGATGCCCAATATATATTATTCTTATTCTAATTCTTATTACTTATATTATTATCATTATTATTACTTTTCTGAATAACCAAGGCCTAGCCACCTACACCTTACATAGCTATACACTTCCTCTAATGCTGGCACATGTGTCTTTTTTTTTTATTTAAACCTTGATTACTAGTGCCTTAAAAGTGCCTCATGTCTGACAAATTCTCCACCAACCTGAGCAACACAGGTTAGAATTTTCTTTGCCAAAGTTCTTGTAAGAGCTTTGGAACCAACTGATATTTAACAGCTGTGTGACTTTAGGGAAAGGTCTTAAGCTCTCTGGGCTACTTCCCTTATCTGTAAAATGGGAATTCAGAGGGTATTTACCCCTTAGGAAGGCTGTGAAAATTAAGCAAGCTCATAAACGTAAAGGGCTTACCAGAGTGCCTTGGGAGCCCTGATTTATCAAGGCAAGCACTTGGCTGAGAGCAGACCAGCTCATTTTGTGTTTTAAGCCAGGGATTGGCAAATGTTTTCTGTAAAGTGCCAGATAGTAAATATTTTAGGTTTTGCAGGCCAAGAGGCAAAATCAAAGATGTTATAGGAATACTTATATTAACAAACACATTCCCACAACCTTATTAACAATATTCAAAATGCTAATAACAATGGAGGACCATTTAAAATATATACATCTGCTATGAGAAGAACAGAATTCTTTTGGGGGGGTAACATTTCACTTAATTAGGGTTTGAATGTAAAAATCATTCTTAGGTCAAGGATCATACAACAAGAGTCAGTGAAATGGATTTAGCCATTAGGCCACATTTTCCCCTGTCCTTTTTTTAAAAAAAAAAAAAAAAAAAAAAGATTTATTTGCTTGTTTTAGAAAGAGAGCATGAGGAAGCAGGGGGTTGGGGGAGGCAGAGAGAGAATCTTGAAGCAGACCCCGCTGAGCTGGGCTCTATCCCAGGACCCTGAGATTATTACCTGAGCTGAAATCAAGAGTCGGCCACTTAACCAACTGAGCCACCCAGATGCCCCTTCCCTGCTGTTTTTTTTTTTTTTTAAAGATTTTATTTATTTATTTGACAGAGAGAGATCACAAAGCAGGCAGAGAGGCAGGCAGAGAGAGAGAGGAGGAAGCAGGCTCCCTGCTGAGCAGAGAGCCCGATGTGGGGCTCGATCCCAGGACCCTGAGATCATGACCTGAGCCAAAGGCACAGGCTTAACCCACTGAGCCACCCAGGCGCCCCCCTGCTGTTTTTTTTTAAAGCAACTGTTTGTGTGTTGCTGTTTGTGTGTGTGTCTGTGTGTGGGGGGGGGTGCACCGGTGTTGGAAAGTCACCATGAGGGGTGCCTGGGTGGCTCAGTCGGTTAAGCATGTGCCTTTGGCTCAGGTCATGATCTCAGGGTCCTGGGATACAGCCCTGTGTCGGGCTCCCTGCTCAGCGGGGTACCTGCTTCTCCCTCTCCCTCTGCCCTCTGCTGCTCCCCCTACTTGTGTGTGTGTGCTC